ATAATAATAATAATAATATTAATAATATTCATAGTAATAATAATAATAATAATAATAATAATAATAATAATAATAATAATAATAATAATAATAATAATAATAAATTGATTAGTTAGAAAAAATCTAATTTCTTAATAGTTACCCGTAATTTTATATCGTAAACACTTAAACTGTATACATTTCGATACTATAATAATAATAATTTATATATATTTATATTTATATATATATAATAATGATTAATCAATTTATTACTGCACTTTATACTATTTATTATTTCTAAATTAATAATTATTTTATTGATGTCCATTTATAGGATAACAAAACACTCGTTAATGTTAATTATTATTATTATTTTTTTTTTCACTTACATATTATTAAAATTAATCAATAATAATCGTTTACATAACTATCAACTATAAATATATTTATCAACACTTCACTCACACAGTATTTAAAATTAATTACAATTATACCTATTAAGTATAATCTAAGAGCGTGCTAGTTTTTATTTATTGAGCTTGCCTTTATTTTTGTCTACTTGTTTTATTTTTATTTATTTCAAATCCTCTTTACTTTTATCGATGATTATCGACCGAGTGTATGTTTTAATATTTTTTATTTTAAATGTAGAAAAAATTAGGCGTACAAAAAAACTTGCCATTATTTTTTTTTCCTTAGGTATCAATAATTATTATTATTTTATAAGTGTATTTTTACATCGTTTTTACGTATTTTAATTTATTATTATTAATTCTGAATGCTACTGAATAATAAATGTGTATTTTATTATCAAGGATGTTTTTAAAAGATCGCGGGGGCGAAGACTCGGGGGTTTTATTTTAAAAATCAAACAAATAAGTTTTTTATATTTTATCTCTATTATTAATTTATCTTGTTATTTTTTTTTTATGAGCCAGAAATATTATTTATTAAACAGCGGTGATGCTATTTGTCTGCAATAATCTATAAAGTCAACGTTATTTATCAATTTCCATTTATAAACGATGACCAGGAGCAATAAGAGTCTGATTGTCTTAACAATACTATCAGTTTTATGTGAATTTATTTTTAAATTCTCAAAAAAAAAATCATCAATTTTTATTTATTTATTAATTTAGTTATTAATCATTACGGTGATTTAATTAACTACTATGCAATTAATATCTGTCGATTTCGTCCTTTAGCTTTTCCGTCTTTCGAAAAAAAAAAAAAAAAAAAAATGTAATTTTTGCTCATACTTTAAGAACGGATTGATCATTTTGACTTTTAGTAAAGTTATAAATATAACAGTGCGATAAAATGTCCCTTGAGCATTTGATTAAAAAATTATAAATACGTCTAATAATAAAATAGTGACCTTAAATGTCACTTAAAGTAGACATACCCCGACTAGACTAGACTATTTTTTATTTATTTCTAATAATACAGTCTGTTCTAAGTTATTGAATTTTTACATGTAATGTATGGTAAAAAAAATCAAAAAGGAAAAAATAAATAAAAGATGAAAGGTCTTAAGGACGTGTACGCGTAAACAGACGTGTATAAGAGTGGGTAGAAAAGCTCTGTTGTAGAAGTAAAGGGCGGGCTAATAAATCCCTTGCTCGATCCGTCGCTTATTCGACTCGCTCGGTTTATTTTCGAGGCGCGAGCGTTGAGTCTTACGACGTAGGCTACTCCCAGGAAGACATGCGATAGTTTCTTGTTTCTGTTTATTTTATTTTATTTTGTTTTAATTTTATTTTAATTATTCTTTTCCTTCAAAACTTTGTTCTTACTAATAATCCGCATTTTCACTTTAATACAATTCACTTTTATTTAAACTCGATTTATTGGCTTTTTCACAAAATTCATTTAGTTTTTAACAATTCAAATAATTAATACCTTGGGCTATCAACTAATAAAACTACAATACTGAATTTTAATAAAGAAAAGTTATCGATTGAGCTTTTTTGTTAATTAATTGTTACATCAAACACAAACAATTGAACTTTGGATTTTTAAAGACATCTATTTAAGGTTCAGCCGACAAAATAATCGATCGGCTTGAAGTATTCACCGAGGTGGAAAAGATAAACAGTAAACACTTTACTGCCAGTTAAATACGTACAACAGCGGTTTATGTGTATATAAACAGATAGACATCTGTACGATCACTTAAAGATTTTTTTTTGTATCTTTCATTTTTCAAAATAAAATTAAGTAAAGCCAATCAATCGAGGCTCAAATTTTAATCACCAACATGACTAAAACGACAAATAATTGTGTAAATACACACGTTCAAATATAAATTAAAAAAATAATAACTCACGTGTTTTACCTATTTAATAATTGATCTATTAAATATATAGATACACTTTATTATTTTTTTTTATTTATTATTCCAAATACTATGTTATTATTATTACGACAACAATATTATTTAAATAATTAATGTATTAATTTATTATTGTTGCTGTTACTGTCACGATGAGATTAATTTAACTCTATTTATACATTCATACATTAATTTACTCTGTCGCGTCTTTTTTTCACAATTTTTAACAAATAACCTATTTTTATTTTTTACTTAATTGAATTATTATTATTATTATTATTATTATTATTATTTTGCAATAAAAAAAAACTTACTGAAGGAAATAAAATCATTTTTATAATAAAAAATGTTTATATACACTTTAATAAATTATAATAAATATTTTCAAACAATTACATTATTACAGACAATAAAATTATTCATAATTTGTAACACTATATATAATTAATCAGTTAAAAAATTTATTTTCATGGTTAACTAGTGCAATATATCATTAAAATTTTTTTGCTTAATTTTTCATTATAAAATTATCAATAATTATAATTGGAACAATTAGCCGATCATGAAATTAAACGAAAAAATACTTCAATGCCCTCTGATCATTCCAAACTTCTTCTAAGCATATCAAGTAATAATAACAATAATAATAATAATAAATTTATAACAATAAATTTATGACTATTAATTATTTATTGAATAACTAATTGTCAATTAACTCAATTACTGTGGGTAGATTATAATAAATAATAACAATAATAATAATAATTGCAATTGCAAAAAAATAAAAATCATAAACCAACTAGTCAGATAAAAACAAAAATATTTAAAAATAATAATAATAATAATTTACACATATACATATTTATTTTTTATCGTAATAATAATAATAATAATAATAATAATAATTATATTTTATATATGCACATTAACTTTAATAATTATTAATTACCATTATCATTAAATGAGCAAATAAATTGATTAGTATATCCGCAGCGAGGGGGTACGGGGTGTTGGAAGCGCCATATGTCCATCATTTATTTATTTATATAATACAAATTTGATAAATAACTCTCGTAAATTTCCAAAAACGTTACTAAACTTTTATCTATCTAGTTACAATATTTTATAAATAACATCAATATACAATCAATGAACCATTTAAATCTTTAATTTTGTTTAAAAAAGTCACCCTTTCAAAAATTCCCCCACCCAAACAACCACTCGGACATAAATATATAAATATACAGTTAAATGGTATGAGAAAAAAAAAATATCAAGTATCTCGAGCACGATATCAAGGTTCAAAGTATGCAATTTTGGTTTTTGTCTGTCGATATCGCACTTCGAACGCCACAAGAAATTCATTTTAACCTTTCAATCTCTTCCTCAGTTGTTTCCGCTTCCAGTCATATGCTTTTTTTTTTAATATTTTTATTCTCTTACCTCTTCTCTCTTTTACTCTGTGTCTTTTTATACATAACGATTCTGTCTTTTCTATTTTACCGTCATAAGAATCAAGACTTTGGCACGGTTATGCGACATCTCGAAGCCCGAATTTTTTGGTAACGCTCCAAAGAGTTCTCTCTCGGTCAAACTCGAGTATCAACGCCCTACTACCATATACATACATATATATATATATATATATATATATATATATATATATATATATTATATTTTTAAATTAAACTCATTCAATTATAAAATGCGGCAGTTCGGCAAGTCTCCCGACAAAATCGTTCGTCGCAGTGGCTCTAGCCTTTACGTATGAAACCTGATTTTACAAAAATACGGCACGCTTATTATTTTTTAATTTTTATTAATTATTTTTTTTAATTTTTTTATTTGGATAATTGGCACTTTCTTTTTTACCACGGCCGTCGTCGTCCCAAGTCTTTCGGATTATCGGAATCGTTTATTATTTTCCCTTATTTTTTAGACTCAATAATCATCCACCAATCACGGTGATTATGATTATTCTTTTTTAAAAATTTTTTTTTTAATTAAAGAACAATGGACGGCAACGACGCAGTCGTTTTTTTTTTCTAAATTGTTTTTCGTGATATTTCACGTGAACGTGCCGTTCTCCCAGTGTTTGTTCACGATTTTCACGACTCACCATTTTAGTTTAATTATTTAATAATCGATTGTATTTTTTTTGTTAAAATACAATTATTTAAACTGGTATCTGGCGGTGTTGTGTCATTAGTAGTAGTAGTTTTAGTAGTAGTAATAGTAGTAGTAGTAGTAGTAGTAGTAGTAGTAGTAGTAGTAGTAGTAGTAGTTAGGAGTAGTAGTAGCAGTAGTAATAATAGTAATAAAATTGGAGATGAAACTGGATCGAGTGTAAATTAGATGGAGCTGTATCGGTTAACGATACTCGATCTATAGCTGTTGATCTCAAGACGTGAACTCTGATGCACAAGGAGTGACGACAGTCGACGACGACACTGCCTCGTGCCTGCGTGCAAGAATTTACAAGAGTGGATAGTAACGTGTGTCATTATTTATTTAAATGCGTGTTAATGTGTTAATATGTGGTACCACAGTTAATACTTGACCACGAGGCACGAGTGTGATTTCATTATTATTATTATTATTATTAATTAAATTTATTTAATATCAATAATATTAATTGAATTATTTTAAAAACCACGGTGCTTTGGCCGGGTATTATCGTCGACTAGTCATCCTCCTCGGGACCCATGTTCTTCAGCATCATCTTCCTCTGGGCGATTTTGCTATAAATAATGTCTATTGGTTTGGTCTCGTCGTACGGGCTCGGGGCCTGTAGGATAATGAGAGCCGTACCAAAAAAACAAGCAATCGTAAAAAACCAAAGGAAAATTCTGTCGAGAACCATTGCTACGTACTTCCAGTCTTCTTCCACCTGAAAGCAAACAAAATAAACGTAAACTCATTTTTTATGTCTTTAAAAATAATTATAAAATGTGTTTTTGTTTGTCAGTAATAATAATAATAATAAAATATTTTTTGATAAATCTAATTCATTCGTTGGCAAGAAAAGAAGAAGTTGCCCCGGGAATTCAACTGTCCTGTACTTTGCAGACTCTCTCAGAAGCCTCCAGCTTTTGAGACTCGAAGAAACTTAATCCGAAACATCTTAGAGTTAACTTGGAGACGTTATCTAGGATCGCCATTTCCAACTCAACTAAATTTTATCATTCTTCAGTTTATTTATCTTTTTTCTTTAAAAACTATTTTTTTTAGGCTACCTTGCCAGTTTCTCACAGATGGTAGTGAGAATCTTAGATAGCAGTTTAGAGGAGTTTAATTTACAAGTTTGCTTTAAAGCTAACTAACCTTACTGGTAATACTACTCCGTGTATTTAAAGTGAAGACACCATCTTTTGAAGACAATGTAAATTATAAATATATACACGTATGTAATAGTATTGAAGAAACTTTAATGCAAAACATTTAATCCGAGTGTCTAAAGTGAATCAAAAGATACATTCACCGAGTTGGCAAAATGCAAATACCCGTTCTCTAAGTACTAATGTAACAACAACAACAACAATAAGAACAATATATTAAGTATGGAAGAACAAGTAGAGATAGAATAATAAGTATTTGCGTATGACACGATACTTTTGACGATGAGTTTACTTGGCAACCTGGCAAAGTGTTGCCGCAGTGCGTTACTTGTTATACCGTAGATGGAAATGCAGCCGAGCTCTGGTATAATACTGCACGTATCTACTTTATATACATATACATTTTTATACACTTTGTCCAGGGTAATTTATTCTTGTGCTTGTGCTGCTGTATAGCAATATTCCGGTGCTCTGAGGACCACAAACCAACCAGGAGGTGGTCCAACAGGGAATAGATGGAATAGATAAAACGGATGTGCTTCCGTAAAGCTCTCAGTTCCTCCTACGATCCAAAGACACTTCCGGTAAATCGAAAAAATAAATAACATATTTCTTAAACATTTACACAACTTGCTCAAAGAGACAGTATTTTCTCTGCAATTCTAATTTCTTTTATCTCATAAAGTTTTTTATTTCCGAGGATGTAATTTATTTTATTTCTTTTAATAACAATTGAAATTTTTTTAAAAGAAAAGATACTAATTTTTTGATTTTGAAACGGGACGCTTGAAAAATATGGAAAATAATGTATACACTGAGTAGAACAATCGGAGTAGAAGTAAAAATAGTTAGTGAACTATAAACTAGTACTACTAGTACTGTCAGTGCTGTTAGACAGAAATGAATCCATTGAATTTGATCTATAGTCTAGTCAACAAGTGCCTTTTTGGTCAACTTTTTTCAGCAGTCTCCGAAAATTATGATTGAGGTGTCATTCGATTCGTAATGATATCTAGATAGTTTTCGAAAAACAATGAAGTTCCGCAAATAAAAATTACAAAAGTTATTAACAATTAACTAAAAAAAAAGGGGGGGTTTAGTTTTTTGCAAATATCTCATAAACTAATAAAGATTTTTCAAATTTGAAAAAAGATTCAGAAAGAGGAGGAAATTTCCTAAAAAAAGTCTCGACTCCCGGAATTGTAGGACTAATATTTATAATTTTCCCAGAGGGTTGAAAATACGCCCGAAAACGGGTACTCCGGCTTGCACAAGCCACGCCCCCTTCGGACCTTTAATGAAGAAATATTATTTAAATTTATTAAATATGAAAATTAAAAATTGAAAAAATTCAGGTGCCTACAGAACAGATCAATGAACAATAATCCATGGTCAAAAATTTTTTATCGCGATTTTTCAATAAGTTATCCATTAATTGATTAACAATTTTTTGTAGTACGAACATTAACATTGCAAGTGCGATAATTGTTAAACTATTAATCTAAGAATTTTTTCCTTTCGTAGAGCTATTTTTCAAAGGTCTTAGAATAGATTCCTGTTGGAAAAATTAAAAAATTGTTAATTTTCATTTTGTAATTAACAATTTACTAAGTTAAAAAATTATAAAGCTTTATTATACATTGAAAAAAATTTTTTTTTCATAATATTATTATTGATCCGTTTTCTTATGATCAGAAGCTACTTAAAAATAATTTTTTATAATTTTTATCTCCTATTGTTTAAAAAATTGTTATAAACAAATGCGTTGTTTATGAGATAATT